CCGCCTATTCTCTAAAGAAAATAATAATAGATCTACACCATATGAATATTTCCCATCAAAATCCAGAGTGCAAAAAGTACACTAACCCATTATTTGAGGGCTGGAAAAAGTGGAGGGAAACTCAACTTCAGCTGAGAACTCCAACCAAGAGAATGAGAAGAGATTTGATGGGTACAATATTGGGAGGAATGGGTACAGACTTAGGTGTATTAAACAGCATAGATACCGAGGTATTGTCAATAAATTAAATTCAGTGGGGCAACATTTGGGAGCAATCTCAAAACCTTTAACAACATCTCTGAATGATATGAATGTTAGTCACCAGTTTATCACAAATTTACTTCCTGGCTGGGAAAAATTACAAATAAAAGATCATTTGACTATTCTAAAGACAGTAGAGGTATTGCAAGACAATGTATCCTTAGCTTTAGCAAGTATACAGGCACAAACTTGGACAAATGATGTGGTAAAGGATATTACAAGAGATGGAATGAGTGGTATTTTCCCTCTTGAAATAAGAAGTATTATGTGGAAACATGCCTCAGAAGCTGAGAAAAGATTGTACTCTTGGTGGAGAATGGTAAACATCACATACGATCCTTAATGGAATCAAGCAACCACGTTCATAATTATGATGTCTACAGCCCATATTGAATGGATATCTCTGATTGTATCACTTGAGTTAAATATTAACACAAGTGTAATGCAACCAATTCAACATAAACTTTGGACAATAAAGCAGAATCAGACATGGAAAACTGGAACTTGAGGCTTGTATGGAAGAACGAGGAATTGGATATATTTGTAGTAATGATGCGATTCAACCTTATGACATATGTTTAAATGAAGAAAGAGGAAAATGCCATTACTAATTAGATCCTTTTCCATTTAATGATTCAGTTGTTGTATATGTTGGAAGAAAATGTGTATGTATTAGAAGTTGGTGCACATTATTTGAAGTAAATTACATATGCAATGTAACCCATAACCCTTATGAAAACAAGTGCTTATGTAATATTACCTCAGTGATTGGTTGTGATTTCAAGTTTGCATGACCCGAAATTGAGAATGAGGAAATTAAAGATCAGTATCAGATATATGAGAGAATTAACCCAATCCCTTTAGGATTAAACATAAATTTAGTTAGGCAATTAATGACTCATCCTGAATTGCAAAGACAATTACAAAAGGCTCAGGAGAATGCACAGAACGTTATGATCACTGTCCACCATTCCACTAGAAAATCGAGCAAGTAATTGAGCGTATAAGAAGTGATACTAAACCTAGATGGTGGGAAGTGTTTTTAGGATGGTCCCCCACAGAAATGAGATTCTTTAATATAGCTTTACATCCCACTGTGATGCTCTTAGCATTCCAAATTCTAATGATAATTATGCTTATTATCCTGATATTCTGGATGAAGTGAAAATTCAAACAGCTAAAGTACATGCAGATCCCCTACCTGAAAAGGAATTATTATGACACCCCAAGGAGTGTAACCAAAATGAGAATCGAGGGTGATGAGGGATTGTACCAATATGAAGATATGATGGCTCGGTTTCTGGCAAAGGAAAGCCTTGAGTCTGCTCTGGACAAGACCCTATGTTAATTGAACTCACTGGATTACGAAAATGCTGGATAGATAGAATCATAGAATATCCGGGTTGGAAGGGACCTCAGGAGGTCATCTAGTCCAACCCTCTGCTCAAAGCAGGACCAATCCCCAACTAAATCATCCCAGTGAGGGCTTTGTCAAGCCTGACCTTAAAACCCTCTAAAGAAGGAGATTCCACCAACTCCCTAGGCAACCCATTCCAGTGCTTCACCATCCTCCTAGTGAAAAAGTTTTTCCTAATATCCAACCTAAACCTCCCCCACTGCAACTTGAAACCATTACTTCTTGTTCTGTCATCTGCTACCACTGAGAACGGTCTAGGTCCATCCCCTTTCAGGTAGTTGAGAACAGCTATCAAATCCCACCCCCATTCTTCTCTTCTGCAGACTAAACAATCCCAGTTCCCTCAGCCTCTCCTCATAAGTCATGTGCTCCAGCCTCCTAATCATTTTTGTTGCCCTCCGCTGGACTCTTACCAATTTTTCCACATCCTTCTTGTAGTGCGTGGCCCAAAACTGGACACAGTACTCCAGATGAGGCCTCACCAATGTCAAATAGAGGGGAATGATCACGTCCCTCGATCTGCTGGCAATGCCTCTACTTATACAGCCCAAAATGCTATTAGCCTTCTTGGGAACAAGGGCACACTGTCGACTCATATCCAGCTTCTCGTCCACTGTAACCCCCTAGGTACTTTTCTCCAGAACTGCTGCCTAGCTATTCGGTCCCTAGTCTGTAGCAGTGCATGGGATTCTTAAATCCTAAGTGCAGGACTCTGAATTTGTCCTTGTTGAACCTCATCAGATTTCTTTTGGCCCAATCCTCTAATTTGTCTAGGTCCCTCTGTATGCTATCCCTACCCTCCAGCTTATCTACCACTCCTCCCAGTTTAGTGTAATCTGCAAACTTGCTGAGGGTACAGTCCACGCCATCCTCCAGATCATTAATGAAGATACTGAACAAAACCGGCCCCAGGACTGACTCTTGGGGCACTCCGCTTGATACCGGCTGCCAACTAGACATGGCGCCATTGATCACTATCCGTTGAGCCCGACGATCTAGCCACCTTTCTATCCACCTTATAGTCCATTCATCCAGCCCATACTTCATGAACTTGCTGGCAAGAATACTGTGGGATAAACGAGCAGGCAGCTTGAAAGGTCAACCAATCATAAAAGATCAGAGAACTGAATATAAGGAGATGACTGGCAAGCTAGAAGGTGTGTGGTAGCAGAAGGAGAAGATCATCGAGACGAAGAAGCAGCAGCAGAAGAAGACGAGAGAGATCAGAGAAAGAAAGAAAAGATCAGAGATTGGAGAGTGTGAAAGAGTGACAGAGCAGAAGGACCTAAAGATGAGTCAGAGGGATTGAGAAAAGGAGTGTGTGACGTTCCCCTCTGATGTTATCTGGACCGGGGATCTGCTAGGTCACTCCAATCCTTGACTCTGGGAGCCAGCCTTACCCTGCTCTGCTGTGAGAGCTTACCCTCTGGCATGTAAGCTGCTCCTTGGATTGTGCAACCGAATGGCACTTGCCAATATCTCCGGTCGCAGACACAACCCTAGGAACCTCCATCTTGCAGTGTCCACTTATGCCCGCTGGACACTGAAAGCTTATATGTGTTCATCAATTTAACAAAGAAATTGATATGCACCGGTCTTGTTATCCCAAGGGGATTCTCTGACACACTTTAAGCCAAGCACACTGCTTCAGGTACAATAAACAAACAGATTTATTAACTATAAAGATAGATTTTAAGTGATTATAAGTCAAAGCATAACAAGTCAGATTTGGTCAACTGAAATAAAAGCAAAACACATTCTAAGCTGATCTTAACACTTTCAATGCCCTTACAAACTTAGGTGCTTCTCACCACAGGCTGGCTGGTTGCTCTTCAGACAAGCTCTCCCCTTTGATCAGTGCTTCAGTCACTTGGTGTGGTGTCTGTAGAGGTAGGTGGAAGAGAGAGAGGAAGAGCATGGCAAATGTCTCTCCCTTTTATCATGTTCTTTCTTCCCTCTTGGCTTTGCCCCCTCCCCCCTTTCACAGTCAAGTGAACATTACCTCATTGCAATTCCAAACTGACCAAAGGAAGGACACACTTGAGAGTCCTTTGTTGTTGCCTAGGCCAGTGTCCTTTGTTCCTGTGAGGCTGGGCTGGGTTTGGCCCATACATGCCCTGATGAGGTGTGAACGGCCCCTCTGCTCTTGGAGAGTTTTTGCCTGGGCCTGTTTTAAGCCATGAGGATACATTTTCAGCCTCATAACTATATACATGAAATTACAACCTATAACATTACTATAACATCACTATAACAACAATGCTCCATGGATCATGAGCCTTCTGAAGACACCCAACATGACAAACTTTGCATTGGATACCACACAACCATATTATAAGGATGAACATGGAGTGTAGGTACAGAGCATCACAGAGTGTTAGTCTGATTTTTGCTTATATTGGGAAGACTGCTTGTGTGTATGCTTGTCAATAAAGCTGGATGCCTGCTGCTGAGTGAGAACTGCCCCACCCCATCCTGTAAGCAGCCAGCCACTGCTTGCAGAATTGTAATTGTTAATTGTTTCATGTTTGTTTAATGCTATATTGTAACACTCTTTTATGCATATGCATGGAGTGCTTGTATGCTACATTGTAACACATCTAAGGTTACTGTATTATAGGCCTTATGTATTATTATAGGCCTCTCTCTGTGTGGTCTCGGTGCCACTAGATGGGACAGAACACCACACCCAGGAGGTGTGTGGGTTACGTACACACACAAAAAATGAGGCTGCCATATAATTTCAAGCTTTGCAGATCCTCCAGTTACTCAGATATGGTGACTGCAAAGAAGGAGCAGTGACTGGGTGTGACGAACTGGGAATGTTCTTAATGTGTTCTTTGATTACTATATGGGTGCCTGTGATGCAGCAGGGAGAAGGGAGTATTGACCTGGGAAGGTTGCAGGGGAGTTTTGCTGGGACTGTCTGCATGGGGGATGGGAGACTTTCCTTGAGCATGTAACATGAGAACCAGGAGGGGGGTTGGAGGCCAGGTGACACCTCTGCCCGGGAAATGGACTAAAGGCTGGGGGAGGAGCCGGGGGGAGGCTGAGTGAGACGGCTGGAGGGAGTTTCAGTTTGGAGCTGGCTGGGAAATGGAGGGGAACCCAGACTAGGCTCTGGCCTCCCTGGGGCCCTCCAAGATGGACCTGACTGAGGGGGTCCTGTTGTCTGTACCTGCAAGACCTGTTTTGGACTGTGTTCCTGGCATCTAAATAAACCTTCTGTTTTACTGGCTGGCCGAGAGTCATGGTGAATTGCAGGAAGGGAGGTGCAGGGCCCTAACTCCCCCACACTCCGTGACACTGGGCATCTCTGAGGATAGGAAACAGACTTCTGACCACAACACAGGTTGACTCCCGAGTGAGGTAATGTCATGGACACTTTGTTGAGGACCAAAGGATTTGTGATCACTGAACACTGCTGCAAGAAAAGTGGCACAGGCCAGTGCAGGCGTATGGAGAGCCAACCAGGCTGAGGAATGTCAGGTTTGGTTACAATCACTCAGGCATTGATCCTGCAGAAGGTTGCACACATATTTAATTTATATATGTGAGTAGTTCCATTGACTTTAGGCAGTGCATAAGATTTATGTGTCTGCATGATGATGGCCTAATATTGTTTTATATAATGGTGAGTTTAAAAATCAAGCAGCCCTAGAGATAATTGTATTTCAGAGTGTGTCATTCTGAATATTCAAGGCTGAGACATTTCTTAAAGCATGTTGGGGGTAAATGATGAAACTGTGGCTAATTCCCAGGTGCATTCTTTACCCAGATGTTACAGCTTTCAATGAGATTTAATGAACTGCTGACCTTAGTCAGTGTTTTACCTCCAGGAAAACTTCATGGCTTCATTTTCAGGGGCTGATAGCAGCTTTCTTTCATTTATCTGTTACATGGAAAATCAATCCTGCAAACTAAGAAGCAGAGACATTGAGGAGCTATAGTGAAAAAATAAATTCAAAAAGCCCACAGCTTATTGGGTAATAGTAAAACAGGCTACAAGAGGGGGGTTGTTGAGTTAAAATTATTGAATAATAACATAATAGCTTTACTAATAAATTAACGTTTCAAAACTCTGCACTGTGATTTACTAAATGAAGATATCTTGAGAATAATAGTGTGATAAGGAATAGCCAACATGGATTTGTCAAAACAAATCATGCCAAACCAACCTTATTACTTTCCCTGACAGGGTTATTGGCCTCAGATATGAGGGAAAGCAGTAGGTGTGATATATCTTGATTTTAGTCAGGCTTTTGACACAGCTCCACTTAACATTCTCACAAGCAAATGAGGGAAATACGGTCTATGTGAAATTACAACAAGCAGAGTCAGCCCTAGACCAAATGACGCCCGAGGCGAGGAACATCTTCAGTCCCCCCATTTGTTAAACTTTTGTTTTTATTGGATTTGTAGCCCTTTCATGACTTTGATGCATGATCTGCATACATGATTTATCCCTGTCATATAAGACTGATTGGAAATGCCCCGCCCCTTATATACCTGCAAGAGCATGGCTGACAACATTCTAGGAGGTTTAAGGAAATGTAGTTCTCAGAAAGTCTGGAAGGTTCCATGAAATTCTATGAAGGTCCAGAACATTCTAGGAGGATAATGAAAAATGAATCTACATATGGAATACCTGAAACATTTTACTCCAAATATTCTATTTGCCCTTTTGTCACTAACAAAAACAGCACCCCAAGCTTCAGTTGGAGTGCTGTTTCTAGTTTTGCGCACCACACTTTAAGAAAGATGTGGACAAACTGGAGAGTCCAGACGAGAGCTGCAACAATAATAAAAGGTTTAGAAAAGCTGACCTATGAGGAAAGGTTAAAAAACCAGGCATGTTTAGTCTTGAGAAAAGAAGGCTGAGGAGGGACCTGGTAAGGGCTTGTTATAAAGAGGATGTTGATCAATTGTTCTCCACATCCACCCAAGGTACGACAAGGGTACGTCTACACTACCCACCGGATCGGCGGGTAGTGATCTATCTATCGGGGATCAATTTATCACCTGTAGTGTAGACACAATAAATCGATCCCCGATTGCTCTCCCGTTGACTGGTGAACTCCAGCAGTGCAAGAGGCGGAAGCAAAGTCGACAGGAGAGCCGCGGCCGTCGATCCAGCACCGCGAGGATGCGAAGTAAGTAATTTTAATTCGATTTAAGATACGTCGACTTCAGCTATGCTATTCTCGTAGCTGAAGTTGCGTATCTTAGATTGATCTCCCTCCCCCCCCCCCCCCACCCAGTGTAGACCAGGCTAAATAATGGGCTTAATCTGCAGCAAGGGAGATTTAAGTTAGATATTAGGAAAAACTTTCCAACTATAAGAATAGTTAAATAAATTACCCAAGGGAGTTGTGGAGTCCCTGTTATTGGAGATTTTTAAGAGCAGGTTAGACAAACACCTATCAGGGATGCTCCTGCCTCAGCGCAGGGGGCTGGACTAGGTGACCTCTTGAGATCCCTGCCAGCCCTACATTTCTATGGTTCATTGACTTACAGTACAGAACTACTTGTATACATACCTGCCTGCCTGCAGCTAATACAGGGCTTAATCCTGTTTTCTGCTATGTTGATGCATAAAGTGGAGGGAAGAAAGTTTAGTGTGCAGCACGGAAGTATCCCCGGTGCCAAAGTATGATGGTACCAAAGCCAGTCAATACTCCAGCTCTAATAAGGACCTGAAGCAGGGGCTGACAGGGAAGGCAATGTGCCTCCCTGATCTTGGAGCTGCTGATATCTAATTTGGCCCCCAGGGCAGGTTAGATGCCCTGACTTGTGTCATAGCCACAATGGCTCCTGTGGTTGTTTCAGCAGCTGGGGATAGCCAGGATGTAGAAAGGCCTTGGCTTGCCTCTTCCCTCCCTAGCCCAGCCTGCCCTACAACAGGCCCCTGACATGCTTCATACACTGGGCTCCTGTAGGGCTTGTGTAGAGCTGACTATACCAACCTTTTGATTTCAGTGGGGTTTTATGTGGCTTAAGATACTGCACAATGGCTGAATCCAGTACTAAGTAGTCTCACTGCTTCCTTGTACTCGCCATTGGTCTGTCTGTATCTATCTGTTGTCTAGTCTTATACTGACGCAATATACATGACAGAGCCTATGTCTGCATAGCTCTGCTGGCATAACTGCCTAGTGTAGACGCTGAGGATGCTGGCAGAAGCTCAGCTCCTGCTTCGGCAGATTGAAGTGTGCAGCATCCAGCAATTCTCACTGAGCACTTTTCAAAACTGGTGATATCATTTAGATGTCTAAATAGGAACCAAGTTCCTCTGAAAATATGGCCAGTAATTCTGGCGTTGCTCAAAAACAATGAGAACACTGCCATCTAGCGCTGCAGCAATATTATATCTCCAGTCAAACTCTGCTATGTGTAGAGTTAAGGCCCAGTTGTTTGAAAAAAAATAACTTTACAAACTCCAACTATATTTGTGTTAATTAAAAAATGGTCAAGGACCATATGTGGAAGATGATTTTGACAGATGACTCAAAAGGTCAGAACCGTAATGCTAGAGCTGGTTAAGCTATTCTTTATGAACAATTTATTCTACAAATTTAGGGCCTTATCCTGCCAAGATTTATATTTGTGCCTTCAATTTAAAGGCACCAGTCATGTGTGTAAAGTTACAGGCATGTGTGTTTGCAAGTTGGAGCCATAGCCCTTTTTTCTGTTCAAGATTTGTCCCCAAACAGATTAGTATTTTTGCAAAGGGGCTTGTTTGAAATTGTTTAATAATTTTACTATTATATATTGCACTGTGGGTAGTTCAGAAACTGATTGTAGTGTAATATTCAATTGATTATTCAACATTCAGAATTCACTCTTTGAGCTTTATCACTGGCCACCTAAGCCATGTGATATTGTGCCGGTTACCTTATTGGATGACCTTTAAAACTGGATGTCCACTTCCACCCAAAACAAAGTTCATCTAGTCACAAAACAAATTTTGTTTCTTAATTAAATGAATCTCTCCTACAAGCCTGAAAATCTTTTTCTGTGATCATTGTTTCAAAGTTAACAAAACTTTGATTATATGAACATTCACAAACAACTAATCATGAAGAATGAACAAGCCGATTCAAACCCCAGAGACTAAATCAACCAAATATTCCCGAATCATCCAGCCAGCTCTGCATAATACCTTAGTTTCTAGGAAGAGGTATCACTTCAAAAAGGATGGCTCCATGCAAAAAGTCTACTATAGTCAGGGTTTAATATTTCCTGCAATTCTTGACACTATAGAGGTAACTGGGAAATTACCCCATGCTACACAATCAGTTCAGAACCCAACACAAAATGGAGCTCAAGAAAGAAAGGAACCTAAATTCTAAGCTATGGTTGAGGAGTGCTCAGGTGTGTGTGTGTGCGTGCACAAAGGAGGTTTTAATTCTCATCTATCCAGGAGCCAGTCCAGCACTCAGGGTAAATTACAGTAGTTTTAGGGCCATTTACAATGGAACCGGATCCAAGGAACACAATTCAATATGAACAGAGGCATTGTCATGCTTGCTACAAAAAGTCCCAACAAGTATAAATGTCCCTGCAAACATGTTCATTTCACTGAAGCGTTGCAACAGTTTCATGCAACTGGTTTTTCTACTTTTAAATATGGCTGGGAGGTCGAAGGAAGAATTGTTCTCTTCTACCTTGCTACTTAAAAGCAAGCATCACTCAACACTGTACAGTCCATGGTGTATTTTTAATTAAGGAACTTGATTATGCTATGCATGGATTCTTTCTTGTTTACCATTTAGCTCAGCCAAGGTGACATAATCCTAATTCCACAAGGAAATCCTTGCTCAGAAATGTTTCTTTTTAAATTAGTTTATAAAAGTTTCCCTGTGCTAAGGCTTCATCTGAGTATCATGGCACTGTGGGTTAGGGCACTGAGCACAGGACAACAAGTAAGGAATCTCTGCATTTTAATCTTGTCTCTATATGTCCCACTATGTGGCCTAGATCAAGTCACTTATCTTCTCTGTCTCAGTTTCACCATTTGTAGATAGTACATACTCATTTAGGCTAGGGGGAAATTTGCCCACCCAGTGCTTGGAGGTCAGTTGGAAGCTGGGGGCAAACTCATTTAGCATGTTGGTGGCTTTTTGAGTCAGAGAATAAAACTCTTTCATCTGTTCATGGGGAGTCTGAGGCCCAACAATTTCCCTCAGATGCTTAAAAATCTTGAAGATGTGTCCTTTTGGTCCCCTGTTCTTTGCAAACAATTCTCATCTCAAACCTGGCAAACTCACTACATCAAATACATTGCTTACAGGGTATTTGTCCATAAAGGGTAACACGTAAGGTCTCTATTAAAAGCTTGAGACTTCTTGATACTCCTAATTATGGTGTGATGTGTGTATGGGTAATATTTAAGGAATAATGTAACTCTGTTGAAGTTTATGCCTGTAGCTGAGGCCTGACTTGACATGAGTAATTAACACATGGGGGAGGCCTCTTTCTTTGTAAGTAAGGATTAGGGAAGAAAATGAATCATCAGGCTGAAAACAGGACATCTGTGCTAAATCAGATAAGTAAATAAGTAGGCTAAAAAGACAGAATGTCTGAGCCAGCTAAGATAAGAGGGAGGACACTCAGGGAACTACTCACTACGAACTAGATAACAAGGGACAAAGTAAGTTAGAAATACAGAAATGAGATAAAGAAGTCGAAACATGGACATCATGTGGACAAAGCATGTAGTACAGGGATTGGTTCCTGCTAAGTAACCAAGCCAATCTTAAAATGTATGATACAATGTACAGTGAATGCAATGAGTTGTGTAAATGTATATAAAGAGAGTTTCTGTATAACTTTGGAGCTATGTTGTACCTGCATCCATCCCCCCTGTATTTGAGTCTGATCAACTCAGTGTAGCATTCTGTATGCCAAATAAAGATAC